AGAGGAGAGGAGAGGAGAGGAGAGGAGAGGAGAGGAGAGGAGAGGTATGTAGACTGGTAATAAGGAAGTCTTTCAAAGCGCTGCAGCTAAGAAATGTAGCATCTTTAATACAACTTTGCAATCACAAAAAGGAGTAAGAGTACTTACTGTCTGTAGCTGACCATGACTATTAAAATAGCTGGCATGCAGCACAGGATGATAATGACGGCCAGAGCCAGCAATGCACCTTCTGTGAAGCCTACAGCTTGCGCCTGCTTCTTGACATTTGCTACCACGTCCGGGGTGCGGATCTCCAGGATGCGTCCCCCCTGCCCCAGGTATGGCTGAAATTCTTTATTGATATCCAGCAGTTTGCCATCGAGGAACCTTCAGTGCCAAAACAGAAAACTGTGATAGCCAAGCTCATTAACTGTGTTCCAACTACTGTGTAGCTGGGCTAATAACTCCGCTCTGATAAGGCACATACCCCTTCCTTATGTACTTAAGAATCTTTGTAATTCCCCATAATCTCTTTGTCAGTGATAACTTCAATGTATTTAAAGCTGGAACGCAGTTTAAACACTGAAAAGGAGAGGTGAGCTGAAGCTTACTCTCATTTCTAGGGGCAAAAAGTTCTTCATGCTGTAGAATAGCAAGGTGAAGTTTGCTTTGTGCTTTTTTCTGTAGTGCTCTGTTGCAAAGGATTAACTAAGCCTCGTGCATACATCCCTCAAGACTGAAGTTCAACCTGATGCTTATCTAAAGGCAGCTAATTTAGAAAGAACTTCCTGCAGTTTCTTAGGGCAATTTGTTTTTGGTGGGAGATCCATCCATTTTGTTCCCTTTTGACCTTCCTTGCAATATTAAAGCCATAGGGAAAAATATACTAAAATAAGAAAAATATAAAAATACACTAAGATTAATAATTCCCTGCTCGTGCAGCTGCATAGCTGCAACAATTCTGAACCTTCTTCTCATATCTGCTCTGCCTAATTAGGCTCCATGTCTCTACTATTTTCTTAAATCACAGTGCTGATGCTCCGTAATGAACTACTTGAAAGACTTCCTGACTCTCCTTAAGGATGGCAGGAGGAAAGCACAGAGGGACAATGATGAGATCAGCTCATCTCCAGTGGGCATGAACACCAGAGTTGCTGCATGATGCGTCCTTTGAAAATCTGGCACAGCATGGAGGTTTTTCACTGGCTTTGAGCTATTCTAGTTTAGAGCAACCTCCCAGTTAATTTTTAGGTGGTATTAAGTAGCCCTACAAGGCACAAAGATTAAATCTCAGGGATTAGCTAACCGGGAGCTCTTGACGCTGCCTCCAAACTACTGCAATGTTCGTCTTCTGCTCAACTTCAGATTTAGTGCACCACCTAAGAAAGGAGCTTGAAGAGCACAATTATCAAGGTTAGCAAAGTCTGTGAAAGAGCAAATGTGGTGGAAGATTTTGACTGTCTGATCTGATAATTGGCAGCTTCAAGAGGGGCAACCAGATCTTAAGAAAGTTATTTCATTTCCCATTTAATTGAAAATATTCTATTGGGGGACTTTTTTTTTTTTTGGACAAAACCCAATATTTTTGCTAACAAAATTTGCTTTGGGAGTTATTTAGGGCAGGGCTCAAATTTCCAAAGAAAAATAAAAATTCTTGAATCACTTGGGAAGTGAGGGTTGACCGTTTCATAAGCTGCCAAGTAGTTTCCTAAAACTCCAGCCACAAAGTTCAAAGTGAGGGGTGACGAAGAGGATCCAGCTGGCTCTGAGCTACAGCACAACACTGAGTATAGGCTCTATGATGCCAGGCTCGAAGAGGAGCCTTAGCTACTCGCACACCTGCAATCCTACAGTAGCAAACCAAGGCATCCTGAAGAAATGTTTCCGTTTGTATTACTATGCTCTTCTAATATTCAACTCAACAATATTCAACAACTAATGCTGTGGCTTCTTTGGCTTTTTCCACAAAACATTTTTTGGGTAACAGAGCAAAAATCTCTATTCACAGCCTGAAGATCTGCAATGATAGTTTGCAAAAAAGTACAAAAAGAGCTCTAATGCTTTTGTTGTACGCTAGATGTCAGTGGTGCATGCTGCAAGTCCTTGTTAGCCAAACACAGCATTCAGCTAGGACAGCATTAAATCTCTGCAAGGTTTTAACAGCCTGTCCTAAAAATTCTGTTAGCATTTTCTTGACAAACCCTATTTTATCAGGTTCATAACTCAACAGTGCACATTAACTCCATCATGAAGCATGACACACAGTGCAAAAGGATTCAGACAGGGTAAGCATTTTATTTCTAATGGTGGACATTTTCCACTTAATGTATGCAGGAAAAATTTTCAGAATTCCACTTTTTTATGCTCTAATAAATCCACTTTAATATGAAAGAAAAAAAAAAAAAGAAGCTGATCATTTCAGTCTGCAGTGCTATCTAAGTGGCCTCGAAGTCTTTTAGGGGTATGACAGAGGAGACAATATCAAAGTGCAGTTACTATTCAGACATTTTTCAGCCTAACAAGACAGATTCCTGGTTAATAAAGATGTCAGGGAGTCCTAAGGTAAAGGATGAATCTCTCACTGTTTATCAGTCTAACAAAGTACAGGACAGGGGAAAAATTAGCAGACAGACAGAGATTTTCCCCGGCTGGCAATTAGAAACACAGGGCAGCTGTTATACTGAGAATTTCTAAGCCATGTAATCTCTCTCCCATCACACCCCGTTGTTTTGATTGAAGCTTTCACCAATAAATCTATTTTCTGTTACGATCCTGAGCAGATTCCTGGCCTGCAGAAGGATGATTGTGGTTCCCAGCAATCCGTTCCCAGTAGCACTGTTTTATGTCCTGTAATCTCTCCAGTGATAAAATCTCCTGGGAAGATGGTCACAGAAGGAATTTCTTTCTAGATGTGGGTAAGTACTTGAGCTGAGTGAAATCTCTTGAGGTTCACCCAGTTGATAGCAAAAACTTGCTAACTTCAGATTCCATGTTGCAAACCTCTTGCTTCATTTCTCCCCTTCTAGTAAGCTGACACTTTATCACCTCTACCCTAAAGCCTGGAAAGCATTCCCCAGAGTTTTGTTAATTTACATATTTAAAAGCTTTTGAAGAGCAGGGAAAGAATTACAAGAAAAAAAAAGCTGAGCATGCAGGCACGTGGTGCATTCTAATGGGACTGTTTCTAAGTTGATAATATCCCATGCATTTTCAAACCAGGCAAACGCATAACCTTCCATTCACACTAGAAAATTTGCTTTCTAACTAGCTTAACTCTTTCCCTGTGTACTTCTGTGGATGCACAAACATCCTTGAAAAGACTTTTCTACTTTTTTCAATGGGCACCAAAATGAAGGAAGAAACGTTTTCTCCCAAAGATGGTCTGCAAGAGGAAAATACTCTCCCCGTGGACTTGACCAAACTCCATACGTAAGCACCAGCGGATCCACAGGGTGCTTTCCAAAGATGATAAGTGTTCACAGGACTTCCAACTATCATCAGGTTCACAGTTGTTTTCTGAACTTGGGCAGCACCACACAGTTTATTTTTGACCTTGTGTATTTTTATTGGGTTCCCACCTCAGCCATACTCCCCACCAGTTACGACTGGAAGAACTGTGCTTCCCAGAAGGGGAGAAGTAACAAGTAGGGCTTGCTGCTCCCAAGACCAAAAAAGACTGTATGACTGAGATGCTGGGAGACTGGAAAGTCCAGATAAAAGTGTAAGCAATAAAATGAGTAAAAAGTGTTTCAGAGTCCAGAACACAAGGAACTTGTTAAAAAATTAAGAGGACGATGTGATCATAAGCTTTGGTTTTGGTAGAACAAGAAATTAAAAGCACCAATTAGATGCTTCAATCTAGCACTCACAGTTGTAATAAAACTCAATGGTTGAATCCAGACAAATTAAAAAAAAAGGCAAAAAAGCTGTAGTTTTTGACAGTAAAAATAATTACCTCTGCAATAACACCACAAAGGTTGTAGTTGATTAGATTTTCTTGAGCAGTTCCTTTGCTGAAAGATGTGCTCAAAACAGAATCAATTCTGGGAATTCCTATGGTCTTTATTATACCAGGTCAGACTGATCACACTCATCTTTTCCAACCTATAAACTCTGAATATATGCGGAGCTTTAGTATGTTATAATTCATCTGTACTAAAATAAGAGCTCGAGAGAACAAGCCTTTTTCAATCACGATCCACTGAGATAGCTCAAAGCCATTTGCTTTGCAGGTTGCTGACTGAGGTGCTGCTTTATGCCATCACTGAGCAGTCTGGTCTAGTTTTCATTGAGACAAAAAGCAAACACAGAAGTGCAAAAGAAACAAAAAGACTCAGCTTTAGAGGAAGACTTCCATTAGTGTTTTCCTTGTATTGATACACATGCAGAACGTTCAAACAAACACAGGTACTGGGTTGTTCAGTTCATGGGAATGGATCTCAAGCTGTATGCACTGCAGAAGTAGGCACTGTACACTGATTTCTTCAAAGGATTTTTTTTCTGTTCCTGTTGTGTTGACTGGTTACTAACAGAGACAGACCAACAGGCTTCAACACAGTCCCTAGAAGCGTGAAAAGAACGACAGACAATATACTTACTTAAAAAGTTCATTCCTCATTATAGCTCTATTTGTTTGTGGGTCAATTGCGTAGACCATGAGGTCAGACTTGGTATAATCCTCTTCGGAGTATCCATCCCCAAACCTCCGAGCACCAATGGATTCCACCACGACAGTTGCACCAGGAATCTGATCTTGGACATAGCGTTCCAGAATCCTAAAGGTGACATGAAGGAGATGCTAGTAGACAATAATCACTGACTTGGATGGTAACTTTCAGAGCACTTTACTTAAAAAACTCCACTCCAACATAACCTCTTGAATGCTCAACTCTTGGGAAAAGCTTAGCAGTGTTAGGAGAGGTCATCTGAAACAGTGTGCTTAAGTCCACTGCTTTGTACTTATGACATCAGTTGAGTTTTAAATGGCTCATGGGAAACACCGTCTATAGTTCACCCCCAGAAATACCATCCTGTCATCCTTTTATCAAGCCATATGATTTCAGAGCTCTTCAGTTCCAGCCTCACACAGTGTGCATACAATAAACTGTCACACCCAGAAACAACAATTTCAACCACTTTCTGTGGGATATTTCCTCTGGTCCTCTAACACAGCATGACGTATCAGGTGCCAGAATATCTGCTACTCTGGAAGGCATGTACAAGTTTTTCATAGCTGTAAGAAAGCTGGAATACTGGGTTGACAGATTTACCACAGAAAAGAATATAACATCCTGCAAAAGTCCAGCAAGCAGAAGAAGGATAAGTTGGCAGAATTTGGAGGCAGTTATGCCCAACATCACAAGGACATAACAACAATAAACCAAAACAAATATGTCCTTTTTCCAAAGAGGAGGTTTAATTACAATCTGCCAGAATGCAGAAAGGCGCACTGCAGATATGTATAACAGTATGACAATACAAAAGAACACTACAACTCTGAAAACATAAAGCCTATTAAATAAAAGTCCTTTTTTTCATTTTAATTGTCGTTTGTTCTTGATGATGCAACACACTAATATTGAAGACAGTCCCTTGTTTTTTTCTTTTCTGATTACTTACTGTCCAGAAACATCTTACTATACACTTTGGCAGACTTTGTTCTGCATTCAAAATGTCACATTTTTCTGCAGCTTTCAATGGGTTATTCATAAAATGTGATCTTATTCCTACAATATTCAAAAAGGCAAAGTGAGAATGGATGTCTGCAGAATGTCCCTCCAAACAAAGAAATCAGATGTTGTCATGCTGAAGTGTCTGTGGTACGTCTGCAGAAGCAAAATGTCAATGGTGCAAGGACATCACTGAGCACCTGACAAGTTTCTGCACAGACAGCAAGCACACCTGAGCCTCAGATATGGGATTTTATACGGAAGTTATGCTTTAACTCACTGCTGATCTAACGGGCAATTTTAAAAAGGGCAGTATCTTACTGTAGTTAAAACATGTACTATTTCCTTCCAACTTGTCTGATCTGCTGCTCCGATGGGGCCTGTGAAACCTGCTGAGCTCCTGTAGCAGACTGCTTCTGTGTACCTGCACCACTGCTTATCCAACCACGAGGAGATGCAGTGGTATTATTGCAGCTCAGCTGTACACGCTTCAAGTTCTGTATGCAGCAAGCAGAACTGGTGCTCCCATCAAGACCAGCTGGGGCGAACAGGAGAGATGGTGGGGAGCCAAACTGCAGTAAGAATGGATGGAGCCAGGAGGAGAATGGAAAGCTGTTAAGACAGTGATATTAGGAGAGCTTTTTCCACAGCTGTTGGGCACAGATAGAATTAATGCCAAAGGAAATGGGAAAATCACCCTTCCATGCTGACATGCTGATGTGGGAAGGTTTACAAACTGGGGCTGAGAAGGGCAGCCCGCAGAGGGCTATATAAACAAGGGCATAAAATCAAATATCATCAATGTTGGATACAAGGGCAAAAAACAGGCAGAAATAAATAAGAGAGGCTGGAAGTCTCTTAATTCCATCAGAACTATGAACTGTTGAGGAAGTGCAGTGTTTCTGGGCTAATTTATGTGATAGAAATCTTACATCAAAAAGCAATAGCTTACTTAGGATGCAAGAGCAAGGGAATGAGAGGGAGCACACTGCCTGGTGCACCCAAGATGCATGCTCTAGGGTGCAGAGGAAGACCAATCTCATACAAAAAGCTACTACAGAATCATAGAATCACCAAGGTTGGGAAATACCTCCAAGATCATCCATTCCAACCATCTACCTACCACCGATATTTCCCACTAATCCATGCCCCTAGGTACAAACTCTAAATGTTTTTTGAACACTTCCATGGTTGCTGACTCCACCACCTCCTTGGGCAGCCCGTTCCAGCACCTGACCACTCTCATAGAGAAAAAGTATTTCCTAATGTCCAACCGGAAGCTCCCCTGGTGCAATGTGAGGCCATTTCCCCTAGAAGCCACTTGTTTGTTTTACACAAAATCATTTCCAGTGGCTGAGGTTACTTTACCAACAGCTTGTAACTTTGCACAACCACTGATGCATGTTCATCCACTCCCTTACTCTGCTCTTCACGTGAAAATTTAGCACACCTTTAAGACAGAAGCATTTCCCGAAGATTTTGAAAGACACAAATCTGTCAGACACAGGTCCTCTTCTCTCTCCATAATGAATAAACACAATTAGTGTAGAGCCATTTTCGTAGTGATAACAGAAGCAGCAAGAAGCAGACAGGCTGGCACAGAGCTGGCTGACCAGTGCCCTGCTGCACGCCTGCAGTTCGCAGATACGGTAAACTCTTCCCATCTCTGCCTCTGGCACACGTGTAACTGGCAGCCAGGACACTAACCTGTCACAGCCACCTGAATAACAACAACTCTGCCAGGTAAATCTTGACAGAATAAATCCCTAAACATTAGGTGAGCACGAGGGATTAAAGAAACCATAAGCTGTCTTTAGAATGGTGTTTTGCACACGGATTCACAAAGAACAAGTCCATAAAACGGCTGCTTTCTCCTCCCCCCCCACCCCCATTAGTATTCAATCCTCTTTTGGTACTGAAAGGGAGTTTGCTATTGCTTCCTTGCACACAACTATTATTTCCCCAACACAAAACAGCCTGTAAAGCTGGATGGTTCTAATGTCAGGTCACTTCTGGCAGAACTCGGTAATAAAATTCCCTCTCACAAATTCCTGGCATGGCTTCTGCTGGAATTCACTGCCACTGAGAATAGCTTTTAATAATTCAAATTGGAGAACAAAGAACAGACTACTGTCAGACTTAGGCACACTGCAGCTGTTGGCTTTAACTGGCATCACAAGACACACCACAGTGTGGTGGAACATCAGTAAGATTTCATCTGAAACACGCAAACTGCATGTTTAGGTTGAAATATATAAAATATATTAATATATATATAAAAAATACACTGAGGACTGAATAGCAACAATTAAAGACTGCACTTAAAGACAGGGCAGTTCCCAGTGAAGTTGTTTTATAAGTCATTCACCTCAGCTTGCATGCCAACAAACCTGACTAGGTGGTCAGCTCCATCCAATACTTGTCAGAAGGCCAGTTTTTAAAACGCTTGAAGCTGCAACAGCATGTGCAGTTCTATAGTGTTTATTAGTCAAAGTTTGATTAAAATTCACCTCTTCCTTCTTAATGCAATGAGAATTGCAATCGTCTCTCCACAGTGGTGTGCATGAGTGGTAGAACCAAAAATTAAGTGGCAATGATGCCTTCCTACTGTTCTAACTTCATCTAGCTCTGCACATACACTGCAATGAAAATAAGTTCCTCCCTGTTCATCTTCATTACTACTGCCATTCAAATTCCCATCAGCAATGCCTATGGACTGAAAGGAAGGACAAGAGGATTTTCATTGTTACTGAGGACACAGTATGGCCTTAAATATTCAGGGAACTCAAATATGGTCCACCACAGATCTGTTGGTTTCTTATGCAGCATTCTGCTTCTTGGAATGCTTCAGAAACCAGAAGGTCCAATCCTGAAGCCTGGGAAGCAGCAGCTCCAGGCAGCAGCCAGCACTGTGCATGGTGGGGGTGAGACTGCTGCAGCCCATCCCAGGCTGAGCACAGGGCTGCACCCCAGCATGGGTCCAGCTCACCAGCCATGTCCTGGCATGGGAGAGATCCTGATACAAGACCTGCTGCCAAGAAAGATGTGAAGAACAGGCAAACATAAGGCTCTCTTTAAAGTTTCCTTGGAAACCACTATGAAATTCCACACGAACCAGGTAATCCACCTGAAAACACGGGCTATGGAATCAGCCACATGAGAGCCCCATGGCAATGGCAGCTCTATAAGAGTCACAGTCCTTGCTCAAGACTTGGTAAGGCAGCATCCAGTTTTATAGACCTTTCACTGGCAGAGAAGATGCACAACAGGGTCTGAAGCACTGTGACATTCCAGACACCCCTGAGCTGAACTGCTCAGCTGTATGCGTGTACTCAGAAGATGTTCACAAACTGAAGAAACAACTCAGTCTGAAGGATGTTTTAGACTCTTGCCATTACCTCAGTGTAATGCTGTGCACAATTTCCTCAGCAGAAAATTCCATGGGAAAAAAAAAGAATATCCGTTCTCTGGCAGTGATAGCCTGCTGTGTTTATTTAGTTTCTGGAGCAGATAAAATTATTTAAGAAATAAAATAAGAATTGTATTTCCTTCAGGACTCTGACATAGCAAGCACTGCAGACTCTGAGCTCTGAGCACTGAAGACCATATAGTGTCTGTAACCTCTAACTGACAATTCTGGTTCCCCACAATTTCTTAGCAAAACGAATCTAAACTCTTGGCATTTGAAAGTGTAAGTAAATCTGGCAACAAAGCACAGCACAGAGCAGTCAGCTTGTGCTGTTATGCAAAATAAAAAAGCTGGAAATGAGGTTTATTTTGAACCTGAGAATGCTCCTCCTTTGCAAAAAGCTTTTGATAATGATTATTTCTACTGTTCTATCAGATATAATACAAATTAGATACAAAACATGTACCTACGCAGGAAGGAGCACCACTGAGCCAATTTACTCTGCACGTAACAACATTAAATTATTTAGAAAACAACCAAGAGATAATGTCTTTATACCTAGTTACCCTAATCCTATAAAAGCACATTGGGTTCTTGCTCAACATAAAGGAAATTTGCTTTCTTACATATTACTTCAGGTTTTTTTCTCCTTTTGTGCTCATCATGCATAATCCTGTCCTCCACAAAGCCTACACAC